CAAGACACGGAACGTGATTGGTCGGCACGCGGCGAACTCAATCACGAGTCGTCAGGCCGTGCCTGCAGGCAAGCTTCGCGACGATAAAATAAACGCGTCTGTGCACTACGCACACAATGACGTTCACCACTACACGCTTAAATTTATGAATGGTTTGCAGGCGACGGAACCGCGTGCCTGCCTCGCGCGTTAATGTTTACAGCTATATACGGTACGCCTGGCGAAATGCAACACGTATCGCGCGCCATCATTGTTGCTATACTATTTATTTTAGGCGTTCACTAATTTTATTATAATTATTATTTTAGTATTCTGTAGTAAAATTAAAATGTTTATATCTTTTATTACGTAGTGTTATTCACGGTATTTGTAAGGTAGGCAAAGTCTTTTTGCCTATATGGACTGCACGCCACTGCAAAACACGACAGTTTTGTGTACCGTGTACTCGGAAATAAAGTAAGTTTGAGATTTTGATAAAACTGTTGCTAAATCATTGTTTACAGTTCTATGAAGTGTTGGATATGTTGGATAGAGGTGACCTCCGTCGTTCGGTGTGTCGCAAAATCGTAAGTTGCATTAAATTTAATACTGTTTGCAAAATGTTTTAAATTGCGGGGTAAGGACGTGCAAAAATCCAGTTAGTTTTGTTATAAGTTCCATCTGATGTAGGGTAAGCTTATTGCCGTATATCGGGCGAACTTTGCATACTTGTCCTGCAAATGGCGGATTCATAGCAAGTGATCACATTTTATACACATTTTTACCAGCTGTATCTGAATTTATGTCACGATATATTGTTTGTTGTGTACAGGAAGATGTACTGGAACCTTGTCTGGAACCTATCGCCAAAGTTCCTGATTCCGAGAACACTGAACCTACTCCATGTTGTAAAGAAAAGGTAATCTGCAAGTGTGACAAGCCAGAAAAAGTAACTTGTGGGTGCAAAACTGAGAAAGTGATTTGTGAGTGTGGCACGTGCCCCTGTTGATAGAACGATGTGCCACATAATCCACAGGAGCCACATAATCTAATCGAAACGGTAATGTGTGTTGTTGATAAAATACTGGAAACTTTGTGTTCTCAATAAATATTTACAATTGAAACAAACCTGGTTTTACATGAAATAGAAATAAGCAATCAAATAAACCGAGTAACGCAACTCTAGAATAGTACCTACGGCTCGAAAATCATAATGTAAAGAAATTCTAAAATAAATGCATAGAAAATTTCAGTTTCTTTATAAAAATATTGCCTATACACAATTTGATATCGATAAAGTTTTACGATCTTTCATCATAAACTCTGTTATATTGGATTATAAGAGTTGTTATTTGTGTTCGAATTTATTTTGGGAACACTTAAATTGTAGACGGGTCGGCGATTCCACCATGAGGGATGTTAGGATTGCAGCAAGCTTTTGTTTTTGTATTTCTTTGTTTTTGGTGAGTTTTGAGAATGTATTTTGTTTAGTTCTTGTTTTTTTAACATGTAATACATCCGCTTTATCAATATTTTCGTATTTTCTTAAAGCATACTTGAAATCAGAGTTAATATTTTCATTGTTACTATGGTTGCGTAATTTCTAGTACTATTAGAATTTTCATAAGTTATTGCACATTTTGAAATTAATTTAATAAGTTAGTACTAATAAACTATCCATGAAAGTTAACAGATGCAAAAGATATCGGCAAAGAAGAAGTGGATAAAGTAATAGAGGATGAAATAACTCAGAAGTTGAGTGATGATCTACTACAGAGTCTTGAGAGGAAATTCCAAGTGGATCTACAGAAGTAAGTTAAATGGATTGGGTAGTCAGTATTAAATAGATTATCAATTCTGGAATGGAGACCAGTGTAGAGGATGTAAATGAAATTGATCAACATTATTGTAAAACAATTTTCATATAAAACATAAAATGTGAATGTGGTAAGAATGCATGCATGCCTTGATTGGTGGAACATGATGAACTGCGCATTCATATATCATCTTGAAATGCATCAAAATGTACTGTGTTCAGCAATAAAGATATTTGATTTGATTTGATTTGAAACATTTGATTTGAATAATAGTAGCCACACTGAACTTGTCAAAGAAAATCTTACTAATATTATAAACGCGAAAGTTGTGTGTATGTTTGTTACTCAGCCACGTCAAAACCGATGAACGAAGCGAGATGTAATTTAGAACAGGGATAGATTATGGTCTGGAATAACACAAGCTACGTTTAAGCCGAGGGGAATGGGGGCGAAGCTGCGGGCAGAAGCTAGTATTTCATATTTTAGAAATTCTTCATTAAAAATGCAAGTCTCAATATTCTAAAGGGCTACCGTTGAAAAAATAAAATCTAGTGCTAAATCTGGTATATTAATTGATTGTTAGGGCAGTGGATATGGTGTTAATGAAGATAAAGCTGTTACTGAAGAATGGAACGCTGCACATCCAGGATAGGCTGAGTGAGCTCCAGGATATGCTAGACGTCATCAAGGGACATGGAGAAAAGGAGGTAAAGAAACAAAATATCTGACTAAACGAAAACTAGTATAGCTCAGGGAATCGTCTAACGGATAATTTCAATAATCTAAATGGACATTAAATTTAGGGAATGAAGATAAAACTACGAATCACAGATTAGAATAATCCAAGACATTTTGTTTGGCGATCGGCGACTTCAGTTTTGTTTCTCTTAAAATAATCGAGCAAACTGTTTAGTAGTTTCCCAATTTTAATAGCCTAAAAGATGATCTCATATGGAGACAATGTGCTATTACGAATATCAGAATGACGTTAGTCAAATAATTCTAAAATACCTCGCCCAACACAAGTGATGCAATAAAATGTCATTCAATGTCATTCGATTCAGACGAAATACTAATCATAATCAATACGTAACTAGTGGTATTTCTAATAAACCCTGTTCATTAACTAAATAGTTGGACACCTGTCTACAAAAGAAACAAAATGAGACCTCCGTATTAGCGGAGAAGGCTCTGCATCAGATGGTGGTCTGCGGGTACGCGCTGATAGGCCACGACCCAGCACAGGCCGTGCACAGTGTCCTAGCACTCAAGAACATGATACGTACGGGAATCAAACCGGTGAGACAAATCCAGACTCTAGCCTAACTCAACCTAGATCTAGATTATAAAGATAAGGAAAATGTTTAAATAGGTCAAGAAGAGGTTAATATTATTATTACAACCGCTATAAACCAGACTGACGTAGTAGCTTTCAGAAAATAAGCTGATATTTTCGCTAAATCTTTTCAAACTTCACTGCCTACTGCGTCAAAAATATTTGCACTATTTTTTAATCTGTCGATCATAAACGGGTTTTATCATCAATCTCAATCAATCACTCAACAGCTCTCTAATCTTTTTCAACTCGTTTGACGATGATTAAATCACATGCGAAAGACTTACAGAGACTGTACACATCAAAATAATAAATAGTACTAACAATCTATTAGCGCACTGCTAGAACATCAAAATCAATTCAACTGTCCTGTCTGGAATCTCATTGGCGTATATCCAATTATCCCAATATCGAAATGATTTTGGAAAATTCAGCTCACGCGTAAAGGAATGTGTTATTTCCTTTGTTTATTTTTTTATAAAAGCTAGCATTTGCGTTGCAAGAATTGCCTTTATTGCAAACAAAATATTTCTTCTTCATTCATAAACAACAGTGATGGATGGTGTTCATGTTCAGCACAGTGTTCCACGCAAATAGTTTGAACTGAAATCTGGACTGTATTTCTTGGTATTTATGTATAACAACAGTATAGTCTGCTTGTTATCTGGCGTCAAGACCTAGCGGTTGTTGCTAGTTTGTAAATAGCCAAAATTTTAAATACATATAATGTATAAAAATTCCCGTCCTTTGAGAGAATTGTAAGAGTAGCGTCAGTGGCGTGCACAGGTTTTCTAGACAGGGTAGGCAATTAAATATCGTATGATTAAACCCCTCCCCCCCGGTCATACAATGACAATCATACTCACACAAGACAGGTACCTACATGTACAGAATACATTTTGAAAAGTGCGTTCAAGAATATTGTGGTTTATTCTGTCGCCAAATTACATACA